GGAGGAGGAGGAGAAGAAGAAGAAGAAGAAGAAGAAGAAGAAGAAGAAGAAGAAGAAGAAGAAGAAGAAGAAGAAGAAGAAGAAGAAGAAGAAGCCGCCAAGCCCAAGAGATAGAAACAAAGTAGTTTCTGTGCAAAGGTTAACAATCAGTGGTGCCTAAGATTTTACAACTCTGGAAATGAGAAGATAGTGAAGCAGTGTCTCAAACTCCTAACCCAGAGTTCTCTACCCATCTAATGGAAGCCAGAAGAGAGTCCAGGTGCCTCTCCATACCTGTCAACAACTGAGGTCTGCAGTCTACTGTGCCCTCCCTTGTGGACAAACTGTTTGTTGCTCTCCAGATGACTTTGTCCCACAAAGTATTTTAATAGTCAACATCAAACAACAATCCTGATTTCCTGAAAAAAAAAAAAAAAAAGAGCAGAAGAGAGAGTAGAGAAGAGTGGGGAAGGGATTGTGATTTTATTTTAATTTCTTAACAAGTACCTTGTTGAGAAGGTACTTCTTAATGCCATGTTATGCTGTCCTCAAGGAAGTGCTCCACAGAGAAGCGAAAGCATAAGCCTCACCCAGTCTTTGTTTCTCCTCCTTTGCTGGCACTTTCTAAAGTGCATACCAAAATGATAAAGTAGACTCCCAAACAGTAAGGACAAAGCATGGGCTAGGGAGAGGGCTCAGTGGGTAAAGGCACTTGCTGCCAAGTCTGATGACCTGAGTTCAATCTCTTGAGACCCACGTGGTGGTGGTGGTGGTGGTGGTGGTGGTGGAAAGAAAGACCCTACTACTGCAAGTTGCCCTCTTCTCTACGTGTACATATGCATGCACACCCACATCAATAAATGCCACCTTTAAAAAGACTTCATCCCATTTATATTCTCCTTTAGAACAAAATTCCTCAAGTCATCTATTTCCCTAGTCCCTCTGCTCTCATTCTCTCTTTGCCATTTTACTGAAACAGCTTTTGTTTAAGCCACCAGTGACCTCATGTTAGTAAAATTAAAATGAGCTAATACTTGCAAAACTCTTAGAAGGTGGTCTGGCATGTAGTATGTTCATGATAAATCACTAAATGCCTTAATGAGAGGTCAAAACCAAGAAATGATTATTTAGAAACAAGAAGATTAATTCTGTGTTGTATGATTTAGGGTAAGGACAAACATTGAAACGGACTGTTGCTAAGGTTCCTAACATGTGTTATTTTGACTTTTAGGGGCAGCAATTGTGGGGTTGTTGTTGTTGTTATTTACAGATAGTTGATTGTAGCTGAGGTCTGAGCTCTGTGACTGATGATGAGACTCCCCTCTTTCTAGGAGATAGGTTTCTGCTCCCAGCCAGAAGTCACTCAGTAGCATCCAGCATCCTCATCTGTTATATGGAATGTCTCTGGGGTCGAAGGAGCTGATCAGACAGGAGTTGGGTTCAAGCCTTTATCTCTCCAGATTCAGGATTTGAAGGTCTTCCCATTGTTGCCTCTGACTTCCTACAGCAGAGCTTTTACTTAACTCAAAGATGAGACAGATGTGAAGGCTGTTTCAGGTATTCTAAGGACCCTCTTGTCTAACCTGATGTGTCTGTAATACCCTAACAAACCCCATGTTCTCCATTTGCCTGGTAAGATATAGTTTGATGCTCCTCAGAGGTATTGAGGATCTGAAAAATAAAGGCTACCAAGCATTCCAGAGTACATCTGTAAAACAGATTGTGTGTTGGAGACAAACCTAACACTACTTAGTTCAGATAATAGGTATCCCAGGGTGTCCCGGTCAATAACGTTATGATATTCTGTATAAGATAAATGTAAGTTTTTGTTCTCTTTGCTCAGTTAATGTTTATTGATTGTTTCCCTTTATAAATGATAAATAGGGAAATCTTAGCTAAATCTTGTTCTCTGATTTCTTAGAACACAAAGATCCCGGTTTTCTTCCATATTTTCACATCCAAGTTTAACTCATTGCTTTTTGGAAATACTTGCAGATAGCGATCCTGTCAAAGATAGGAACTTTCTAGAAATGAGACCTTATAATACCATCATCACTCCAAGTATTTAGAATTATTCTCATTTTACAGAACAGCCAGTTCATCTGGGAAGGTAAATAAATAAATAAATAAATAAATAAATAAATAAATAAATAAATAAATAAATAAATAAATAAATAAATAAAACTTGCCTGAAGTCAGTATACTAGAGAGAGCCACAAAATAGACCATGATGCTGTATGTAGAAGTAATCTTTTAGAAAGGAAGAAACAGTCAGAGACTATATATATGCACAAGGGAATCTCAGCCCCTTCAAAATTCTTTGCCACCAGGTTATGTTGATTAGGACTCTTTCACATTATAACCTGTGTAGAAGCTACCACTAGAACTGGAGAAAAGTTAAG